CCGCGCTGATCGGACCCGCCACCCTGATCGGACCCACCCTGATCCGACCCGCCGCGGGAAACCTCGCCTACGGGACCCACCGCGCTGACCCGACCCGCCGCGCTGGACCGGACCCGCCGAGCTGGATCGGACCCGCCACCCTGATCGGACCCACCGCGCTGATCGGACCCACCGCCCTGATCCGACCCGCCGCGCGCCCGGGGAAGCCGCGCCGACCCGACCCACCGCGCTGATCGGACCCTCGCGGACCCGACCCGCGGAGCTGGATCGGACCCACCGCCCTGACCCGACCCGCGGAACTGACCGGTCCCGCAGCGGTGACCAGACCCACCCTGACCCGCCCCGACCCGCCGACCGGACCCGCGGTGCTGACCCGACCCGCCGCGCTGGACCGGACCCACCGCCCTGACCCGACCCGCCGCGGGAAGCCTCGCCCACGGGACTCCTCGGCCCCTCCAGCCCGCACCCCCCGCCGACCCGGCCCCTCTGCAGCCCCGGGTGCCGACGAGAGGCCGCACGGGGTCTCTGGCTGGACACGAACCCGAAGGCGCGCGAGCTCGCCCACCAGCCTGGGGCCGCGATGCTGGTCCACAGGCCCCGGCCGGCCCGCCCCCTCTGCCCGCCCCGAGCCCGCTCCCTCCGCGCCGGCCGTGGGCTGCCCGCGCCTTACCCGGCTGTACGGTGCCGGTCGGTTCCTGCCGCCTCCTCCGGCTGCGCCGCGGGCGACGGCCCGGTTCCGGATGGGTCCGCCGCCTCGGCTCACTCTCGCGGCGGCCTGTGCTCCGCCGCCGCGGCCGCCTTGAGTCCCGGCTCTGCCGCGTCCCCGGCCTCCGCCGCGGCCACCTCGCTGGCTCCGGTTCAGTTTAATGATGTCGTCCAGAGACATGTCCATTTTGTCGGCCATGGCGGCGCGGAGTCGGTCTGGCTCGAGCCCGCGCGTCAGCACGCCGGTCCGTCACTTCCGACGCCTCGCGGGACCTGCTGGGATCGCGTTCCGGGTCGTTCGCGGATTGGCTGCGGGCGGGCGGCCTCGCTCGCGGGGGTGGTGGAAGTCGGCTGGGGCGGTGCCTCGGAGCGCACGCTGATTGGCTGCAGGCGGGCGGCCTCGCTCGCGGGGGTGGTGGAAGTCGGCTGGGGCGGTGCCTCGGAGAGTACGTTGATTGGCTGCAGTCAAGCGACTGGCGAGCGGAGCTGAGAGCGCATGCGCAGAGGTGCTGGATGTGCGGAAGGCTCAGGGCTAATAAAGCCCGGCCCGCGTAGCAGTCGTTTTTATACCATCCCGGGCGCCTGCGGGTCCCGCCAACGGCCACGCCCCGCCTATTAGATTACAAAAGGTGCGCTGGTTGGACGGCAGCCGTTGGGGGCGGTCTTCGCGCGGTCGGCCCTCCCCGCGCCTCCAGCCTGTCGCGGGCGGGGCTGGGCGCTGCCGAGGCCGAGTCGGGGCGCGGGGTGCGGGCTTGGGGTGCAGACCCAGGACTCTCCCGGGGTCGCGGTCAGCGCAGCCGCCGGGCTTCCTCGGAAGGCGTCTGAGGGAGTCATCGCCTCCGTTGCCCCGTAGCGCACCTGGTCCTGCCGACCCTGCACTTTTCCCCGTGGTCCCGTGCCCGGGTGCTCGAGTCTTTGGGGACACAGTCGCGGAAGGTGCGAGCGGGGATACAGTGTTTCGGGGTGTGTTTCTGGATGGGAAAGCTGAGGCAGAGCGGGAGTTTTGCCCACTCGCCGTAACGCCCAGGTTCGGAGGCTCCTCGCAGGCCGACCCTCGCGGGCTGACCTGGTCCTCCTGCAGAGCACGGCCCAGTTCCACGGTTCCTTCCTGGGACCCCGCCTGCACTCTTGAGCTTCGGGGTCTGACTTGCGGTCCTTGAAGGCGCCCTTAGCCTGATCTGACTCCCGCTCCCCGGCCCTGGGCCCTCGACTAACCCTAACCCCGCGTCGCACCTCCGAGGGAGCTGGCCCTTGAGGACTGACACCTGGCAGGTGACAGGGCTCTGTCTTTGTTTCTAGGTCTGCAGACGAAATCCAGCAAGCCGTCTTCGTCCCTCAGACTCGAGGCCCCGCCATGAAGGTGAAGATCAAGTGCTGGAACGGTGTGGCCACTTGGCTCTGGGTGGCCAACGACGAGAACTGTGGCATCTGCCGGATGGCCTTCAACGGCTGCTGCCCAGACTGTGAGTATCCCTGCCCAGCCACCGCTCGGCCGGCTGACCCCCGAGCAGGGCTGGCTCGCAGGGCTGTTTCTTGTCCTTGCAGATAGATAGATGAGTTGGTGTCCTCAGAGCCACGCAGTTGAGCTCATGTCTGTGTATCCCACTGTTTGCAGAGACACCCTTTGGTATGGAAAAAAAGCCTCTTGAGTTCAGACTCAGCATAGAATGCAGGAGACCAGAACGGATTTGTTAAAACGTTTTATTCGAGCGTTTTCAAGCAGGCAGTCTCAGGATAGT